AATAAAAAAAAACACTGCAAGTCCCATGCTGGGACTGCACAACAAACAAACAAAACACCAAAACACCAAAAAACAAAACAACACAGAAACGTAACCCTTCCAGCCAAAACCTACCCTCCTAAACCCAGCCAGAACAACTTTTTAAAAAGGAAAAAGTAGCACCTTACCAGTCCGAAGTGTCTGCAGAGGCTTTCCAAGCACTGGTACCTAACCAGTTCTCCTTCCTCCTCCTGCGCGCTGCCGCACTCCCCATCCACGGAGACCCTCCAATCCGCGCCTTCGGCAGCGCTTACAAGTAGACGCGCACCTTTAGTGGTGCTTACTTGTGAGAAAACACGCACCTTCGGTGGCGCTTACTCATGAGTAGACCCGCCCCACCCCTCCTCCTGCGCCCCAGGAGTAAAAAAGTTCCATAACCACCTGCTCTAAGAAGCAGCCTCTTTGCCACCAATTTCCCGCCTTTTCACTCTGCCTTTTTCTGTTCGGAAGTCAAAGCTCCAGCCACAAGTCAAAGCAAAATTTTGCAACTGGAGCTGTTTGTAAGTCAAATTGTTCGTAGGTCAGGGCATTCGTAAGTCAAGGCACCACTGTATTTTGAGTGAAAAATCTTCCACTTTGCATGGAAAACCTTTGCATTTTACATTGTAAAACTTGTAATTTTTTTACAAAATGCAAATCATGTTCTGCAAAATACAGAAATCACTTCTGTGAATTTTCCAAAAAGTCCGAAAATATGAAAAGTTCACAAAAAGTCATGTTAAATTCATTTGATGTAGATAAAGTTTCACATTTTTCATTATCACAAGTAATGTAGACAACAGAAATATATTTCACTGAAGAACAACATAAGAAAATATGTAGTTTTATGTAATTGAAAATAAGAATTTAATCTTGTATTAATAATTGTTTCTGAAGAGATGATAGTAATGCGTGTAGAATGACAAATGTCCTTGACAACAAAGCAGATTAATTGAAAAGAGAAACCATAACCTTTTTAAAGTAGCAGGAAGAAATTAAACCCATTCTATCCCAGACAGGTTAGGCCAAAAGAGAACATAAACAAGTGCTGTCCTGCACAACCAATGCCAGTTCCTTAGCCTTAGTTAAGAGACAGGTCTGCAATTTCATTTCTCCTGGCCCTCTTAGTAAAAACAAACAAACAAAACAGAACCCTCCCCCCCTTTTTTTAATGTTTTATTCTGCTCTGGATCTTGAATTCTAACCACTTCTCTTTGATTAGGTACACTGCATTAGTACAGAATTTACTCCAAGAAAACATGGGGGAGAGAAAGGAGTACCTTTCCGGATACAGATGGACACATTCAGACAAAATGAGAATGGTGAATATACCGAACACTTGCATTCTGCCAGCTGCCAGATCAAAGTATTTAAGGTATGCCAGTAATGTGACTCCCAGAAACTGCTTGTTTTATATTTCAGAATAGAGATCCGGCCATATGTAAAATTTTGTATTTCGTTTGTAAATCTTGAGTGGGGCCTGGGAAAGGGTGTGAGGATATTTTCAGGCTGTTACAAAAAAAGGAAGGATTAATGCAGTTTAAAAGCAATTCTTTTTTTGTTTGTTTGATGAAATTAATAGCTATTAAAGCCATTTACCAGGAAAGTTTATCCAACGGTCCAGAGATATGTTCCTTTTTTAAATTAAGACAACAAATTACGTAATAAATCCAGGCCAGCTCCTCCCCTGTACATTTTGAAATTTGGGAGTCACTTGGGGATTTCTCACTCTGTACAAATGCACGTTCTGTTTCGTGTAATCATTGCATAATATGCAGCTATTAAATCAAACATAATGACCAAAGTCCTGTTGCTTAGTGTAGTAAATTACACTGGAATAGGCCCATTGAATCAATGGGGATTTGGTGAGAACTCTGTAAGTTTAATGGAGTCAAATGTGCCTTCTCTGTCTATAACTGTGACTTCCTATGCTAAAGTAAGTTGCAGGTAGAGTAGGTCCATTTGAATGCATTCAGTTTGAGGGGAAATTGATTCCCCGCTGATTCAGTGGGCCTGCTCTACTACAGTTTTCTACACTAAGCAACAGGATTTGGGCAAGTATGAAAGGCCAATAACTCTGCAGACAGAGCATAAATTTCTGCCTATGAAACTCCCAGAGTCTTTAGCTTGCTGTGTGCTTACTTACCCAGTGTTTTGTATGGCTGGTTGGAGGGTAGGAAAGCAACCTAGCCTGCCACTGGAGGTAACAGTAACAATCTTATAGGAAGAGGAGGAAGGGAGTTTAGGCTGGTGAATCTTCTGCTGGCAAAAAAGAAGCAGCAGTCTGTGAAAAGACACACCAGCTTCAGCTTACATCCTCCTTTCCCCACCATACTGTTGTTGCTTACATCTGGTTTTAGCCTTGCTAGCTCTTCTGCTGTGTGCTCTCCCACCAACTGCACTGGGTCTGTAAGTGCTGGGCTTATGCACGTGCAAGGATGTACATGATATCTCTCATTGTGCAGGCTCCAAAACACCACATTGTATGCATAGTACAGCATTGCACATAGGATTCAAGTATTAGAGTTCAGCAGTCCATTATACTGGAAATGGCAGAGGCAACCCACCACTTCAATCTAGACTTCTTCACAAATTGTTTTTTGGTCTGGTATTAAAACACACATTGGGACATGGTGGTGCTTCAGGTTAAACCGCAGAAGCCTCTGTGCTGCAAGGTCGGAAGACCAGCAGTCGTAAGATCAAATCCATGCGACGGGGTGAACTCCCGTTGCTTGTCCCAGCTTCTGCCAGCCTAGCAGTTTGAAAGCATGTAAATGTGAGTAGATAAATAGGTACCACCATGGTGGGAAGGTAACGGCATTCGTGTCTAGTTGCGCTGGCCATGTGACCACGGAAACTGTCTACAGACAAACACTGGCTCTACGGCTTGGAAACAGGGATTAGCACCACCCCCTAGAATCGGACACGACAGGACTAAACGTCAAGGGGAACCTATACCTATACCTATTAATACACAAAAGTTTCTATCCAATGAGATGTTTCACTTAGGCCTGGGAGATCCAGGCTCCAGTCCCTGTTTGGCCATAAAAATGGCCAGTCCAGTCATTATGCCAGCTGAACCCAGACCAACAATAGTGTTTGTGAAGTGTGAAAGGAGTAGGACAATGTTGGTCACTATGAGCTCTTTGGAGGAAGAAGAGGATAAAAATGTGGATCTAAATACAGTTGCTGGCCCAACTAGAGTACAGTGGTGCCCCGCTAGACGATTACCCCGCAAAACGACGAATCCGCATGATGAGTTTTTGCGACCGCTATAGCGCTCCACAAAACTGTTTCCTATGGGTGATTTTCGCAAGACGATGTTTCGGACTGTGCTTAGCAAGACTTTTTTTTTCCGGAATCGATGCTTTGCAAGATGACGATTTTAACAGCTGATCGGAGGCTTTGCAAAATGGGTGTTTTTGAGACTGATGCTTCGCAAGACAGCAATTTAAACAGCTGATTGGCGCTTCACAAAATGGCTTCTGTATGGACGATTTTCGCAAAACAGTGACTATTTTCCCCATTGGAACGCATTAAACGGATTTCAGTGCATTCCAATGGGGAATTGCATTTCGCAAGATGATGTTTTCGCTAAACAGCAATTTCAATGGAACGGATTAACATCGTCTTGCGGGGCACCCTGTATATGTATTGCATCAATGGGGATTGTGTAAGTACAGATTTAGTTCAGCAGTTGTTTTGTCTGTTCGTGATTGGCAGTTGAATCAGGCCAGTGAAAATGTAAGAAATTGAAAATAGTGACCTGTATGATTGTTGCAACCTGAATAATACAGATTAATAATTGGGAATATCCAGGCAAATTATTTAATGGGATATTAACCAGTGGTGATCACATTCTTGGGGATGAAGATAGATCCAGATTGGGCAAATTCTGTCAAACGTGCTGTTGATTGGACATATCCTCTGTGGATTGGACCAATTCTGTCAAAGGCATTAGGTATTACTATTATGAAAGGCATTTGAAGACTGACACACCCAGAAATCTTGTTCAGGTTCCCTTCCCTGACAAAAGCTGATCAAATCTCCTCTCAGCTATGAGATAACTTGGATAGCTTTCTTCAGGCCATTAACTTCCAGCCTTATAGTTTTGCAGTGAGGCTAAAGTACTACATTTTGTACAAGGAGGATAGCATAAAAAGTTGGCTGACAGAAAGCCTAGAATGCCTGACCTCCACTCACAGAATGGACAAATCCATGGGAAGCATGTCTGTCTCTCTGTGTGTGTAAGGGGGGCGGCAATCTCCAATTCCCATGCTGTTCTGGTGTATCCAGAAACCTGCTGTATAGACCTGGGGAACCAACAAGAGCTGCTTTTTTGAATTGGCTTCAAGGACTGTAGGAGAGAGTTGGAGAGGAAGTACGTTTTGCTGTTGAACATTTGATCTAGACCTAGGCAGTTTATTCTAGTGGTTAGTTATTGCTAAATTTGCAAGGAATATGTTCAATAATTTAATGAATGGGAGCAAACTCTGTAGAAGGAGATTCCTTCCATCTCTGTGGTCAAGGTGGAAAATATAGCTTTCTTTAGAATTTCTAAGCTACATTTCAGTGTTGCTTTTGCTTAGGTATCAAAAGAAACATGTGTATTTACTTTCCAGTATTCTTGGCTTAGTTTAAACTGTATTTCTGTTTGCTTTTATAGCCTAAAGGAGCAGATAGGAAACAAAAAACAGACAGAGAAAAAATGGAGAAGAAAACAACTCAAGAAAGGGAGAAATATCAACCATCCTATGAGACAACCATTCTCACAGAGGTATGATTGTTTTACAGCTGCAGTGACATTAGCTATGATAGATTGCTGAGCTTCAATTTTTCTACAAAATAGCATGTTGTGAAGGTTCAGTATTCACCCCTCCCCTTAGTTCAAATAAACTAGGAGTCTTTTTAAGAGCAATATCTAAACGGGTGTTTATTTCTTTATGCAAAGGAAAAACTTCGTTAAACAATTCCTGTCTTAACTTCTCTTGCGAAGCTAACGGGGCTCGCAAGGGTAACCAGAGTTCAGAGTCAAACGGGTTCAAAGATTTAACGTCTCGGGGTCCAGCAACAAAAGGGTCATAGTCTGGCACATCTGCTTCGGTCCCTTCATCTCTCAATAATGGGGAGGTTTCATCATCCTTGTCCCCTCACCATACCGGGTCTCCCTCACCCGTAAGTTGTCCCCAGGGTCTCAGAGGTACATCATCCTTCGCGCCTCCTCGGCTCGCCATGCTCAATCATCCTCCGCGCCTCCTCGGCTCGCCATGCTCAACGTTCTTCGGCTTCTCGCGCCACTGCTTCCTTCTCTTCCCTCAGTCATCTCCTCCACTCCCTCGCCTCAGGCTCACCCCAGTAAGACGGCCACTGGGGAAATCTTCTCGTTCGGCGATAGTCAGCCTCCTCCCTGGGTACTTTCACCCTTTCCCATTTCCCAGTCCAAGGGTCTTCTACCGAGATAAGTTCCCAGCCCCCCCCCGGGATATTGTTGTCTTCCCTATTTATAATCTCCATTCCCGCCCTTGCCATGGACCTCCCCTTTTCTTCCCTTCCCGGCAATTCTCTCTCTGTTTGGGTTGCTACTGTTAGAGCCCGCAAACTCATTTCTAGCTTCTGGGTGTCTGTACCCCTGGTGTACTTTCCAGGGAGGTGTTGGCAGCGGAGTGCTCTGTACCTCCCTGGAGGTCTTACTTGTGGACGGCACTCCGACGAGAGCTTCTATGCTCTCATCCCGCTTATCACCTATGTATGACAACTTGGAGATCAGACTGTATGGATGCAAAGGCCATGCAAGATGCCAGTCATCCCAAATCAAAATTTGGATTTGAAGTAAAGATGATCATGGGTGCCACTCCTGGCTCATGTACCTCTCAATGTATTTTTCTCCAGTTTCTGTAATTGCAAAACTGGACAGATTTGAGGCTGATCATGTGTTGCTGAAATTTAGCAGTTCTGTGGCTTGTTTCAATTGACTGTTGATCTGAGCTATGTTGGAGAAGCTTCTACAGAGCATTGTATGACACTTCACCCAGTTTGCTCAGTACTGGATTCACAGTCTTTATTCTTACTGAAATTGTAAAAATAGGGCATATTATTTTCAAAGACATTTAAATCGTATACCATGTGCTTCAAGTCACATCGGTGAAAAAAATGGTAAATAAATTGCCATGAGCAGACTGGGTGATTGATTTAAAATGTTTATATGTTGCCCAGTTGACAAGTGCCCTCAAAGGTTAAGTTGCTTCTGGCTTAGGGAGGTCCCTATAAATTACTGCTTTCCAAAAGCTTGTGTCAATGTTCAGAGGTGTGATTTGTTGCTGGATTTTGTGTATGTGTGTGTATAGCCCTGTGTAAGTCATGAGGGTCAAAATTGGCTCCTCAACCTGCTTTATCTGCTCACCGCTGCATTAGCTGTAGCATAGAAACGATGGTGACACTCAGCTGTGACAATGTGCCAGTGCTTTGCTATATTCATTAGCCTTTAGACTAGAAATAGGAAGGTAATGAATATGGCACAGTGCTGGTTTTGAACTCTAAAGCCCTGAACAACTTGCATTCTGGTTACTTGATGGTACGTCTCCTACTGTATATATATATAATTGTATCCTATGGTTATCTCCTGTTGTCCTCTTCTGAGTCTTGCACATCTGAAGTAACCATTAGAGAGAGTGTTGTTGGTATTTCCAGAGATGTCAGCTTGTCCATTATTTTCCATTCCCCATTTCACAAAGATCTTTTATTTTCCCAGGATGTTCAGAATTCCAGTTTTAAACATATGCATCTATATCCTTAATACTGCTTTAAAAAAAAATAATACTCTGTTTGGTTTCGCCTTTCCACTTGCAAATTTAACATGTGTTAAATGACTGGATAGAGCCGGAGGTTTGGAGTTTGATTTCCCCCACTGTACCTCCTGCAAATAGAGTCAGCCTGTGTGGCCTTGGGCAAGCTGCATAGGCCCAGAATTTCCCCCAAGAAGGGAATTCTGAGTATTTTGTACCTGGGAAACCTTGGAAGGGGTCGCCATAAGTCCTAATTGATTTGATGGCATTTATATTGTTTTGTTTGTGTATCTTACTGCATCTAATGTCATTCTGTGAACCTGTTGCTAAGTGATACAAAATTACCAGCTAGGGTTGTCTGGTGCATTTTTCTTTGCAAGGCCATTGTGTTTTGACATTGTTTAAAGTTCACACCATTTCAAGATCTAGACTTTAAAAAGTAACTTTACCTCACTTTTCCCTGTTTATTTAAAGAGAAGCAAAAGTAAACATCCAGCTTTATTCATAAAGCCTATTTATATTTGTATACAGTTTAGCTGGGTGTAACATAATGTGCCCCAGCAATTCAGGGCAATGTCACCTTTCCATGGAAAATGACCTAATTTTAAGGAACTGTCAGATTAAGGTGGCCTGCTCTTTGCAGGAATGACCTTCAGCACCATGAAACTGGAAATCATATGCTCCTTGTTACTAAAGAGTTAAACATTTTCTAATGCTTATATTTGCTGAGGAGAGAAGTCCTAGGGTTCTCCATAGCACAGCAAATAGTGGTTAAAATCCAGCACAACAGACAGCACTGGCAAAATGGATCCCCCCTTTTCTCTACAGCCTCTTGTGGTGCCCTGAAATCTGCTTTGGAGGTTAAAGAAACCCTCTGGTCATATCTGAAGAAAGCAGGGACTCCAGGGTCCTGCTGTGTTAATGACAAGTTTCCTTACATTGTGTTGGATGTCACCCTGAAGAAATATTTCATAGAATGCTCCTGGATGTTTAAACAAACTATTTGTACACACTTAATTCTTAAAGCTGCCAGTATTGTACCTCTGATTTTCACAGGTTTATCCTTTTTATTCAGATTGCTCAAAGAAAAAGAAATGTGTTTTGCTCTGGAAAGAGGTTTGATAGATTTGTATTAGCTGTCCCCAAATCCCCGCACTATGACTTAAGTTTAAATTGGACTAAAACAGATTATACTTGGTACTGGCTTTTGTATAAAATGCAAGCTATTTCCTCTGAGGGGTTGCATCTCCAAGTAATCTGTTTCATGTAACCTGTGGTTTTTTCCCCCTAGGATTTATCACTTCACAAGTTGAGAACAATTGCTGTGTTCCAAAATTGTTAGCACAAACTGCCAAATAGAATATTTACCCCTAGGTTGGAATTCTTTGGTTAGGAGAAGAAGATGATTAGTTCAGTGTTTGTGTAGCCTAACAGATTCTAATACTGATATGGATGTTTTGTTTTGAAATGTTGAAAGTTCCTGAATCTGAACGTACTATAGGTTGATCAGTCCAAATGTTCTCTGCATTTATGGGCAGTAAAACCAGTTTTGAAAGAGAGTGAGGCTGCAGCTGCTTCTCATTCAGAACATGCTCTTCTCAGTGTTCCCAATTTGATTTTGTTTGAACAGTGCTCCCCGTGGCCAGATGTGCCTTATCAAGTGAACAACGCTCCGTCTCCCAGTTACAACAGCTCTCCAAACAGTTTCAGCCTTGGAGATGGGTATGCAATAAATATTTTTATCTTTTTAGCTGACAACGTAGCCCCCCCATTTTGTGTTTTGTATGTTTTTTTTTTAAGTCACTTCCGAGTATAGAAGATTAGGAAGCTTAACCTGGTGTTTAAGATAGGCTTTCCTGGACAAATCGAACCTTCATTTATTTATTTTACAACTTCTGCTTACTTGCATAATATCTATATACGGTACTCATTGCTGGCTGGGTTGCCGGGGGATTTATTTCCATGTATTTATTTTAAAATATATCCTGGTCTTCCCCTGAAAAGCTTGGGATAATCCACACAGTTCCTTGGCTTTATCTTTATCTAAAGCACTGGTTCTTAACCTTGGGTTACTCAGGGGTTTTGGACTGCAGCTCCCAGAAGCCTTCACCACCTGCTGTGCTGACTGGGGTTTCTGGGAGTTGCAGTCCAAAAGCATCTGAGTAACAAAGGTTAAGAACCACTGATCTAAAGCATGGAAAATGGTGTAAGCTGAAAGAAGGTGACTGACTGAAGAACATAATGGGATAAGGTTCAGACTTGAGGCTTGCTGGTCCTAGCCTGGCCATTGCATTATCTTTGTTTATTCTAAAATTAGTCGAGAATAAAGAAGAATTAGATCTTAATTTTGCAGGACCAACCTTTGTCTCTTCCAAATACTTTTTTGTATCCAGCAGCAAACTTATAATTTTTGTGGTATTGAGCCTCTGTCTCTGACTCGGGAGGTGGAGCAGAGAGAGGGTGGGGAACAAACACATAGGCCAGATCGAGCAGGATTCCTTCTTTCCCTAAGGTAGAACTTCCTGGTGAGTCATGACTGGTAATGCCCAGAGGAAAGTCTTCAAAAGGATTTTATGATAATTCTCTGAATCTGATCAAACCTACCCAATATTTGAATGAAATAACAGCTTAATAGAAACTACAAAGGTACAAGAAGGAAGAAATTAATCTTGGCTATCATTTCTGCACTGAGTCCAAGAAAAAAAAGTTACACATACTGTACAGTATATTTGTTTTATTACTCAGGAGGGGTATGTTCAAAATTTGGACCTATTAACTTAATGAAGGAGCAGTTGTGATGCTCAGTAGGATCTAGCCCAATCTTATTCATGCCAAAAGCAGATAGCCTTATGCTTGTACCTTGCTGTGGTCGAGCTTTGTTCCAGCAATGTTATAATGAAAACACTTTTGCCCCATTTCCTGCAGGAAGACTTCTCAGATCTTAGGGCTGTTTATCAAGAATATAATTGTCTTCTGCTTACAGCTTAGTTTGGCTTCTCTTAACGGAATCAGTCTAGCAGGCAAAATATATCCACACTAAAGATAGAGGTATTTATGTACGATTACCCCCCCACACAGGTGGAGATGAGGGTCTGGCCCCCTGGGGCTAGACCGTCCATTCACTGTTCTGCTGCTGCTCTGGGCTCCGCGCTCCTTTCCTATTGCTCTGGAGCTCGCAGTGGATTACCCACTCCTGGCAGGAGGCAGAATGATGAGTCTCTTTGCCAGCTGGAAGACTGGCTAATCCATCACAAGCTCCGGAGTGATAGGAAGGGAGCCCGGAGCAGCAGTGGAACGGTGAATGGACGGTCTGGCTCCAGGGGGCTGGACCCTCATTATCTCCACCTGTGTGTGGGGGAGGTATTCATTTACGAATATCCCCCAACTTTAATCCACACAGTTGAAATGTTGATCAGGCAACTTGTACCTGCCACTTGTTTACTTTATAAATCTTGTCCACAAGAGGATTCCATATTCTTGGAAAGGACAATCCAAGCTAGGAATACACTGCTATTTTTTCATTTAGATGAAATAATCAGCCTTGTAGAAAATGAGAGTTGGGCTTTTAACAGACCACTTAGTTGGATGTTAGAAGGGTGGGGATGAGGAGCAGGGAATGGCCAGCATTATTGACGAGAGACTTAAAACTCCTTTTTTCTTTCCCAACTCTGTATAATTTTAGCAACAGTTCTCCAACTGATCAGGTGGAGCTCCTGCCTCCCAGCAATGACGTAAGTATTTGAGATCCTGTTAATGTGGTGCTTTTCTTTTTTTAGGAGACTGGTGAACAGTTCATTTCAAGACCCTCTTATTCTTTTTGCAATGTAGCATCTCCTTCCTTCTGCTTCTATTCAAGATGCACAGCAGTGGCTTCATCGAAATAGGTTTTCTCAGTTCTGTAGGCTCTTTTCAAGTTTCTCAGGTATGTGTGTTCATTTGGGCTATGTACCTTTATTTTTCTGATACGTTTAAAGGGGATAAATCTACTGGCTGAATGCCTCTTGGTATTTGCAGGGAGACTATGTAAACTGCCACATCTGATTGTGACCCGTGCTCTTGCTGGGGCGCCAGAGCATGTGCCCAGCACATGATTAGGCATGTGGCCAAAAGGAGCTGAGTCACAATTAGCTGCGCCAAGGCCCACAGTTTCTCCACCAACACCAATATAATTCTGATATTAAACAGTTTTATCTGATTGAAGCTTTTACAGAGAGCAGCCCAGTGATCTCTGTCTGATAAAGTGGGTACAGTCCACCAAACCCACGCTGATTAAAACCTGTTCATCATTACAATGCTCTTTGTAGCGCTCCTTGAAGTCACACTGGGAGCACAAATTTTATATATATATAAACAACCTTTGCTTGAAATGTGCAGGTGCTGATTTACTGAAGATGTCTAAAGAAGACTTTGTTCAGATCTGTGGCCCAGCTGATGGCATTCGACTTTTTAATGCCATAAAAGGAAGGTTTGTAACAGTTCTTTTTGTTGATATAGCATCAGTTGTTGCTAGTTCCAGTTTATGAATTTAGTGTAGTATTGGAATCCTTAATTGCCTAGTTGTGCTATTGGACGTTTGTGTGGTCTAATAACGCTGAAAATTGTGAGTATCTCCAGAGTACTGCAGTAATACCTTCCCTCAAAACAATCCTTATATTAGACTAGGCAGTAATTTTGTGGTTGAGCAGGGATGTGGATGTAGGTTGTTTTAGTTAGCCTACTACTTGGGCTATATCATACTAGGTATCTGCAGAGCTATATTTATTTAAAATATGCTCTTTTGTAGCAGTATTGTGGTTACCAGTGCAAAATGGTGTGTCTGCTATGTCTGCTTGCAGCGGCAGGATTGAAGAGAATCTTCTTTTTTTGCCTATAGGAATGTAAGGCCTAAAATGACAATTTATGTATGTCAAGAGCCTGAACAAAATAGATCTCATCTTCATCAAAAACGAGAGAATGGAGACAGCAATCTGTGTAGTAAGTGTCCTGTCTTTTTGGAAAGGTTTGCTAGCATTTTATGAACTATATCATGATTTCTTTCAACTGAAAAAAGTATGTTGCTGCCTCGACCAAATTCATCATCTAATTAAGAGCTGATACAATTCAGCATCTTTTGATGCACCTTGTTGTGAAGCCAGGGACTGGGAGTCCTGTGTCTCTTCAGGATGTGCCATCCCAGATCTCCCAAAGCAGTGGTCCCCAACCTTGGGCCTCCAGATGTTCTTGGACTTCAGCTCCCAGAATCCTGGCCAGCAGAGGTGGTGGTGAAGGCTTGTGGTAGTTGTAGTCTAAGAACATCCAGAGGCCCAAGGGTGGGGACCACTGTCCTAGAGCACACATAGCTTTGGGGATTACATGCATTGTCGCCATCCCAGAGCACCACTGGAAGCAGAAACTGGCAAACCCCTTCTGTTTTATATCTGGCAGACCCTGGATGAACCACCATACATTGGAATTAACTTGATGGCAAATGTCAATTATAATAATTATTATAATCTAATCCCTGTTTCTCTTAGATGTGATAATTTTCAAGTGTCATCTTTTTTCTATTTTGGGTTTTACATTTCATGAAAAAAGGGCATGTGGGAAAGAGAAGTGAAACCTACCCCACCATATTCAGATGATTTAAACTCTTTCCCCTGAGATAAACTGGAAAAATGACTGGAAGCATCTAAAAATGGGGGCAGGGGTGAGATCACCCCACATACTTATTTTGGCATAAAAAGTAGAGCCTCCCCTTATGTGTAAATGAGCCTGTGTCTCTCTAAGAAACGTATCTGTTTTTTGCCCTTACTTGGGAGTTCATTATTCTTCTAGGTTTATCACCAGCAAATTGATTGTAGGCTGGTGTGGATAGAACAGATGCAAATCTGGCAATGATACAGGCAGCAAAGAGTATGGGAGGGAAGGAATAATCTCACGGATGTTCTCTACACACATTCTAGTTGTTCATATTGGCTGAAATCCTGTAACACTACATTAACACTGTGGAAGGCTGATGATATCATCAGCCATGGCCATATTTTAGTAATAAAAATATCCCTATCCTCCTTCCAAAGTTGTTAGGCTCTCTTTGCACTTTGGGAATCTTAAACATCTGAAGATTGCTTCAGCTAGTTATGTTGTGGCCACTAGGACACCCAGCAGTGATTTTCAAACATTTAAGACTCTCTGCCCTGTCCTACCGTTTCAAAGGCCTTCCCAGGAGCAAAACAATTCTAAGGGAGCCTAAGAACCTTGGAAGGAGAGATAGGGAGCTTTTTATTACCAAAATACAACTGCAACAGAAGACATCATCAGACTTGTGCAGTGTAACTTTACATTATTAATTTTCAGCCATTGTTTCACAGTGATAACACTTTGATAAGTTATTCTGACATGTGGACTTCAAAATTCACATGGACTAAACCACAAGAGGTGACTGGGGATTGTTTATGTAACTAAACTATTTGCCTTTGTTGCATGCAAATTGTAGGCTGTAACTCTAAAGCTTTTTACCCAATATCATTGCAGTATACCATGCAATCTTCTTGGAAGAGCTGACTACAATGGAATTGATGGAGAAGATTGCAAATTTGTACAGTATTTCCCCACAGCAGATAAACCGCATCTATCGACAAGGACCTACAGGGATCCACGTATTAGTGAGCAATGAGGTAAGGCTTTAACTCAAATGGATCTCATACGTGTATTGCTATCCAAGACAGCTATGTAGTCTCTCTCTCTCTCTCCCCCCTCTTCATATTAGCCTTAAGGTATGACTACATTGGCAAGAAGAATGGTTTGGTTCGCTGTCTCTTTAGTAACTGCATTTTGTTTAGGAAAACACGTTAAAGCCCTGAGTTGTTTTGACGTCAGTGTCCATGCTGTCTTCAAGTTACCCCAGATTTGTGCTTGCATGTTATTTGAGGAATAATGTTGGCAGTAAAAAGCCTAGGGCAAAAATCACACCTATCTAGCAATTTCAGAACTTTGAAGTTTTAATATATTTGCTTGCCAGTAATTCCTCCATAAACCATTGTATCTAAAGCAAATCGCTATGTAATTGAATTAATAACCATCATCATCCAACTGCCTTTTATGTTTATTATTTATTTATTTAAAATATTCATATGGCAGATTTCTCCTGAAGGATCCAAGGCAGCTTACAATATTTAAAAGAAAACAAGTTAAAAGCCAAATAATTATTACAGCATTAAAAATGCATTAAGCAAATATATTAAAATTCATAGGAACAATATTAATTATGCAACTGCCAAAAACAATAGCCAGGGTAGATTTGATTTAAATCAAATTGGTTAATATCACAATTTGAATTTTAAAAATCAATAAAAAAAATTAAATGATGATTTAAATCAATTTGATTTTTTAAAATCATTGATTTTTATCCACCCTGACTGTAACTTTAGTTTTAGTATAATGTACACATAACCGTTCTTTCTTGCACATTTCTCCAAATGATTTCAATGATTGCCTCATGCTAATTTGAGGCTAAGACAGAAGGACCTTATCATCTGCATACAATAGTACATTCCATTTTCCTGAGCCAATGACAACTTGGAAATCGAATTTCAGCTAATTGGTCAGATAGCATTCATGTATATCTGCCTACCCACTTAGCAAAACACTGTCTGCTTACAGCTCAAACTGTTTCCGCAATATTTAATGATCTACAAAGGGTGTGTCATAAAATGAATGCAGTGGAATATGCTTTGGGGAAACTCACAGAATCACTGAACCAAGCACCAAGAAACCCTCAATTAAAGAGGAACATGCAAGGCAACCAGATGGGGAAAAACAATAGTATTGATCCACAAAAGAAACCCCAACCCCAATCTGCCCAACACTTGAGGGAGGCTGGAAGAAACACAAATATCTTTGAGCCTACTCAGATCCTGTTGCAAATCGCACCAATCTCCATCTATAGGAGGAGATGGGATTCACATGAGACTGTTTTATCTTCCCTTAGCCAACTGTTAATGACAGAAGTACACAAAATAGACTTAAAAACCATTAAATGGCTTCCTTACTCCAGGGGTTAAAAGAGGGTACAACTCTCCTTTGAACGTGCAGTGATCCCACACATGCTATTCAAAATGAAACGTTTTCTAGCCAAGTTTCAGATCACACCCATTAGAGTTTTCTCAGATACATCTTATACACCCCTGTTTCAGAGAAACTTAACACAAAGAGAGTCAAGCACTAACAGCTGGGAAACCAAGTCAGAAAACCCAAAAAGTAACCTCA